GTATAAAAATAAATCTGTTAAGAATAAGAGTAAAGCCGTTAGAAATAAAATTCTCCTATTAATGAGTTATAATAAATTAAATGATGGGTAAATAAAAAAATTAGAAATCTAAATTGGTTAAAATATTTTAGACATATAAATTATTCAAACTTAGATAAGACTCACGTTTAAAATCTTAATGCATACTATAATTAAAAAAAATTCTTCGAGTTTGTTTACTTAAAAGTATATTATATCATGCATAAATTAACCTCTCAAAGGAGAAAAAAAGTATAAATATTTAAAAAAATAATAATTTAATGTACTGAATAAATTTAAAAGTGTAGAAGGATACATAAATTATTGAACATGATGGAGAATTATCAGGTAGTCGCACATGCAACTACCACCATTAAGGACTCAAATTGGAAACGTGTTTGAGGAAAGAACGTATCAAATTTAATTATTATAATTGAAAAGGAGTTGAGAAAGTGAATAAGTAGGTGGGGTTACATACAATCCCAAATGCAGTAGTTATTCAAATTAATGCATTAAACTTTCATTATCATAAACATAGATAACTAATTAGTCAAATGTGCTCATCTATGTCTTTAGTAACCAATTCTTTAAACACAACATCCACGGATTTCATTGTTAATTTACTTCATTTCTTTTTGGACATGAGAATATAGTGGCAGACAAAGTCATCTTTCTGTGCATTTTTAAACCAGGACGCCGGCATATATGAGTGATTATTAAATTTTTTTTTTAGTGTTTAAAGATGCAAATAGTAGAAAAAATAATAAACAATAATTTCTTATTAAAAAGTTTAACATTAAATATTATTATTGCAAATAAAATTAATTATATATAAATTGTTATTATTTGTCTTTATATATATATAACTATCATTAAAAGTTCATAGCATATATAGTTATTAGCTATTTTATTATTTTTATATTTGGTATTTGAATTAAAATTCAGAGCATATACTTTTTTAAAATTTTCAATAAATTTTAAAAATAGAAAAAAATATATTAGTTCACCAATTAATTATAGGATTGCGTGCAATATATGTAGCTTTTGTATTTGATTATTCAAGCATTATTATACAAGTTTTTTAAGCTCTATAAACCCAAGTATTTTTCTTAAGCCACTTTCAACTTAATTTTATACCCTAAATACAAATAGAAACTATTGTAGACATAGAAGACTTGATTTTTAACGATATTCATGTTCATGCATTGCAGTTTCTTTCCATCAACATGAATGTGTATCTTGTTAAATAGCATTATACTTAATAATTCATGTTAGACACTTCCAAATATCAGTTTGGCAGGACAAATCCTTTTGTTAAAAAATAAATAAATAAATTGATGAGATAGTTCTATGCTATATCAAAAAAAAATTTGTATTTTTTTTTCTTAGTATTTTGGTGCTGACATGATAAATGAGTAGAAAAATATTTTTGCTTCTTTTAAAGAAGTTATATTTTGCTCTTCTTAAAAGTAGGTTTGTTTTCTTGGTCAACTTTTTCCTTTTGTACTTTCTATGAATAGATAGTGAACTGAAATTACTTCCAATAGACTTCTTTATAGATCATTAATTTCTTTCTTGTTTGCAGACTTTGTTTCCTCTTTTGAATGTCTTTTACAAACAATTGTTTATATCGAAACAACTAACAAATTTATCAAAAAATAATATAAAATTTATTTAAAACTAAATAGTTTTCATCCATAAAAGACATCAAAAGTCTTAAGAAATTTGTCATAACTTTATCAATCTCTCTCTCTTTTATGGTAAACCTTTAATCGTAGGTGAATTTTCAGCAATAGTAAACATACTCAACAGTTATGGTAATCAATTATGTTTTTAGAGTAAAGCAACAAGCATTGAACAAAAGTAATTTGAGTAGTACTTGGAATAAAACAAGTACGTCAAGGCAAATATATTTTAGATAAAAAAAAATATGATACTGAAATCGTGCTTTACATAAAACAAGATTTAAAGTACATATATGTGTTTCTCCTACTTTGTAATCATAAAAAAGAAAAAAGAGAAAAAGAAAAAGAAACTAACCTCCATAATTATAATCTCCCCTTTTAATGAAAAAATATATAAACATCGTCCCTGTCACATGATAAGCAACTCCAACTATAACGAGTGGTAAGATCTTCAATAAGAGTTCGCTAAGAAAAGGTAAACTACTACTCCAACTTCTCAGCATGAGCCTCCAAGAATATTTGTTGAGAGACTATAGGTGGGGATGGAGTAATTAAAATGGATGGAAAGGGTACAACAAAAGCTTAAGCATGATGATATATAGTAAATAGAGTGGGGGAAAAGAATGATTGCCTTAAATAGGAAGAAAAAAGAAAAGATAAATCGGAGGAGTAGAGAAAGAAATGGGATAAAAATTATAAGCCATGCTTCGAATGAAGGGAAAAAGGTCAGAAATAGGGTAAACAAAATAAAATGAAGGAATAAATTCTACAGTTTTCTTCTCTTCGGTAGATAGTCCAAAAGGTGATACTTAAGCAACCATCTTGGCCTTATGGTTTGCGAGAATCAGTCTTGCATTTGCTTTTATGGCGTTGCTTTTAGACCAAAGTTGTTGTCCATGCATTTTCATATGAGACCACTAATTCTCACCCTAATACACACATTTTTGTGTAATTATGCAATACATGATGACACAACTATGCTTCCATCCTGGCATAAAAAGTTACACGTCCAAAATTACCAATCGAAAAGTTCCTTTTTAATCACAAAAATAAAATCATGCACATGATATCATAAAATAATTAGAATAGGTGCATATATGAATATAAGTATCATCATAAAACACCATCATAAAAGTGTTAACAAGTTTGTCAAAATGAAATATAGTAGTATACTTGTTAGGACCAACATAAATACACACCGCATAATTGTATTTTAATCACACTTATTAAGTTGTGTAATGTGACCTAATTACATAATACTATTTAAATTATTTTGAATTGACTTTATTTATCGAGAAGATCTTAATTAATTTGAAATATCAAAATAATATAATTTAAACTTTTATGCATTTCTTACGCATGTTTACTAACTTGACAATATACAAAGTTACATGTCAAATTTGATGTGATTGTTGTTTCAAAGAAAGTACTTTTTTGAGGCTTCAATTGGAATGTAATTTTGAAGAAAAAGGACTTTGTAGTTAAGAGATATTACTTGCACAAATAGAACTATTACAAATGTATGCAGAAATATTTAGGTTACGATTGTTTTGAACCTAATTTACTCTCTTAGTGATCCATTATATTTTGAATTTGTATTAATTAGGTTAGACCTAATTAGGATTATTGTAAAGAGTGTAGTTTTTCTCACCTTTAACACATTTGAATTACTTTCAATTTCCTTTATTATTTGCAGATTAAGGATTTGAATTTCGAGCACTAGTTTCATCTATATGTTTGTTGTTTGTGTTCTTCTTCTATTTTGTTTCCTTTGCGTTTGTAAATCTAGATATGGAAGGATAAACACTTGAGAATTAATTTTCCAATTCAAGTTCAATAATTGAAGTTTAAAGTTGTGTTCTCACTAGTATAAAAAAGACTTTATACAACAGACTTTTACATTAATTAACAAGTAAGTGATTTAATAAAATTTTTAGATTGGATAGATCTTGAAAATTTGTGCAAACCCCATTGGATAGATCTTAAAAAAATTTATGAAATAGATATATAATATACATAAATCAAAGTTACGTGCTAAAAATTATACTTATTCAAAGCTTACGACTAAAATTCATAACTTTCGTCATCAGATTTTTTAGAATTGATGTACAATCAATTCAAAATGAAAACATTTCCTTTTCACGTGCACAGGTCATCAAGGTACTACTCTTTGTCCTTACAATAACACTCCCACACAATTTCTAAGGTCCATTGTAAGACTTGAACACCTAACATCCCTTATTATACCAAACTATTGCTTTTAAAATCACATCAATTATATTCACATGATAGATGTTTAAAATTAATTCACACGTCAATCTCATAACTCAATTATACATTATATGGTCTTTCATTTTCGCCAAAGCTCTCGAATACATGAAATTGTATTACTACCAATATTTGAACATTATTTAATTGTCACTCAAACGGTATTAGACTTGCATGTTTAAATGAATTCTCCTAAAATGTATATGATAAATTGTACTACTACCAAGATAACATTATTTTATTGTCACACTTAATTGATCCATAAATCAATAGTATTTGTCAAAAGATTAGGAAAAAAAAAAAAACAGAAAACAAAGTAATGCTATATAGCATGAAAAAAATTAATACAATTTAGTTACAATTTACTGAAACTTGAAAGTGGTGGTTACAAAGATCATATTGATGCTTTCATTTGTCAAAAGTTAATAATAATAATAATAAAGCTAATTTATACGGTGAAAAACTTAATGCTCTATAACATTTTCAAAAACATTATTATTATTAGTTATTTTATTACGCTTGTCGTTAACCTCTAGATTACCAATGTGATTAGTGCCCTTCTTCAAAGAAGGTTATTGTTGACACTAAAATTAGGAAAGAAAATACATTTTCGTTTATGCTAATTAATTAATTACAAACAAAACTTCTCATAGCAGTCTATATAGGCCTACTAGTTTGTTTTCTGTAATCTGTAGTGTAGACTAATTGTAGCACACCTGCTGGTAGCGTATCCCAGCTACAGGCTACTTTTAGACTATTTGTTGTATATATATGCAGTATCAACAAACTACGCTAAGAAACTGCTACATTTTTTTCTTGTCCCTTTTTCTCCCAAAAAAATAAAGAATATCTTATGGTATAAATATACAATTCAGCACATATTCTGCATTGGCCTTCAGTAGTCTCTTGTAATGATGAAACACAATGCATTGCTATGATCAGACCATCATATTTTCCATTTTGGCAACCACTTTGAGTGCTTTCAAATACACTTTGATCATGATTGTAGATCAATTAAAACATTTGCCATCATCTCCTCTTTGCTAATTGGAATGTCCTCTTTAAGAAATGATTTGCCGCTCTGTCATTTCTATGACACAACACCCTCAATATTGTGTTTGGGTCTGACCTATTCCACCTTCCTGTGGTAGGAGGCATAGGCAACTTTTGGCCATTGCCCATGATTGCAATCCCACTTGTCTCACATGTGACAACGCTAAAATCTTCCATCAATTGTTCTGTACTTTGTCCCATCAATGCAATGACACCCTCCACCACTGCAGCCTCTCTTTCAACCACATTTTCTGCTATTAGTCCTTCACCACATGTGCAGAAAACTCTATTCAAACTCTCAAAATCCTCTTGGATCATAACATGATCAGACCTGTTAAACACTCTTGAGCTCCCACCTGCAAGCAAAACCATGAGGAATGCATCGAATGAGGCCTTCATTACTTCTTTCATTGCAAGTGCCTGAGCTCTATCCGCTAAAAGTGTAGTCATTAGTGTCATGTTCTGCTTCAGGATTCTCAATGCTGGACGAATACGCGCATTGGCAACATCACCAACATAGAGGCTGTCATAGAAGACTGAATTTGAGTCAAGGAATATGAGACGATATGCTGCAACTTCTGAGACATGTTGACATGCTGCAGGAATGGAGGAGTTGACAATTTCAAAGTAGGTGTTGTTGTTGTTTGCAAAACGGTGACGGTTTGAAGGAACCACACTTGGGATTTGAATGAGCGATTTCTCAAGTGTTTGGATGTGAGAAAGGAGGTAGTGTAAGGTGTTGAGACGAATGTAGAGGCGTTGCGTGCCACGGCTAGTTGATGGCCGAGGGTTGTGACCTTCAGTTGTTCCATTTATGTGTTCTAGCTCTGAGAGGCTACCACCACAGGGGCTAGCTTTCTTCCATAGCTTGATGAACTTTGAATCCCTATTGCACCTTGTCAACGGGGGAAGTGAAGGAATATAGCTCTGTTTTGTACCTAAAATACAGCAGGGGTGTAGCTTGTTAGATTGTTACATTGGTAAATCATAGAATGTGATTCTTTCAGGAGTAAGGATAACCAATCAATCATTTTTTTTAATTAGACAACGTTAATAACAGGTTATCTATAATAAATTTTTATTAAAAATTATAACATTTAATAGTATCAATGTATTGAATTGTATAATTTTAAATAAAAATATATATGTAACTTTTTATTATGTGAAATATTGCACAAGTTAGAAAACAGTAATAATAATCTTTTAATTGGTTGTGTCTGACTAATAAGTATCTTTTCGCACTGGAACTTCTGCAAGTGAGAGAAATTGCACGGAGAAAATAGGAACAGTATACATTTTTATCTTTCATTATCGATATTTTGTAAACTACTGGCGTAATTTTTATTATTTATTTTATTTATTCTCTAGAGCAAAAAAAATTGATTTTTTGTGTACTCATACAACACTTACCACATGCTGCAACGAACATCATGTAGTCTTGGAAGAGACTTTCTAATCCATCAGCAAGATAGTGAATTGTTTCTTCATTTATTCCTATTGGAATTTGGAAGAATTGGTCCACAGTTGTCTTGGCGAATTTCATTAGATCTGCGGCTGATTGTGCATATGGCTCTGATTTGGACTTTGGATTCCAAGTCTACAAAATAAATTAAAACATGATATTCAATTTTATCAAAAATCACAAAAATAAATGTTCTTAGTTGTGTCTTTCAATTTAATATGTGAAGGAAAGAGGACCATGAAGGCAAAACATACTTCAGTTTCTTTTCCTCTTTGTAAACATTCTTTGCCTTTGTGCAATGATTCATTAATCCATTTCTTCAAGAGGTTCAATATGATTGAATCAACTTCATAGGGAACCATCTCTCTCAAAACTGTATTGCCATTATCCTCACCGTCAACTGAGTTTTCAACTACCATTTGAAGCAAAACCTTTTCTAGCTTTTCAGCCCTTTGCAACACCTCAACTGTCTCATGAGTCAATGAGGTTACTTCACTCAAATACTGCCTTAGCACATGCCCATAGCAGTTGTGCAACATCAAAGCTGCAACTGCACCTGCCGCTGGGTACCATTTCTTTAGCATTGCAGTAAAATTCTCTCTCTCCTTCAATGCCAAATTTTCTGTCTCCTGAGCTAAGTGAAGCAGGATTTCATTTAATTCTCCCTTCATTTGTAATTCAGAAACCTTGGCATTCACTGCCTCAATTACCTACACTCATGAAAAGGAAAAAGACCTTATGATTTATTAAACATATATACACTATTATACTTTAAATTACTAAGACGTAAGAAAAGATGAATATGTTAACAACAAACCTTTTCAAATGCACTTTTCATGGTAGATCGAATATAATAATTAACTCTATCCCCAGACGAGTCTACTATGGTTATATCTCCTTTTTCTCCCCCTTCTCCATCATCAGATATTATGAGATCTTCACCTAAAATATTTGAGACTGACAACACCACTGGAAGAACATTTTCAAACTGACCAATAGTCCCTCTTTGGAAATGTTCATGATAATCAATCAATCTCTTCTCAGCCCACCCTTGCATTGAACTCAACACTGATGTCAACAATTTGACATAGAAGGAATCTTTTTCTTTCTTAGCATCATTGGCCACCTCAGTCAACATGGCATGTGAGGCATAGAGAAGGTCTGATTCTATCTGCCCAGTTACTACATACTGTTGAAACAACACCCAAGTGAAGCACAAATTGTGAATTGGCTTAGTGATTCTTAATATGGACCATGTCTTTTTCATCAACTCAAGTAACTCATCAACCTCATCAAGGACTAATGTGTCATCCCTGTTGTCAAAAATGGCTTGAAGAAGAGAAGTATAGAAGTGAATGTTCAAAGGGAATCCATCAGCCCAATGGCAAACATCAGTGGGGGTCCCATTAGAACTTCTCCATGCCAAGGAAACAACAGAGTTGGAAAGGGTTCTCAAGGTGTCAGAGTTTTTGCCATTATCTATAGCCTTTGACTCACCACCACGAATGATGTCCCTAAGGCGCATGGCAAAGGTATTGCTCTTTTCTATAGGGATTGAAGGGTGCGTTAAGAGCCCTACTTCAAGGACTTTGAGTTGCCTCTTTTGCCACATATGGTACTCATGGGAATCACTGAATTCTGCTGCCTTTAGGTGCCGCAAAAGTTCTAAAGGAAGAATGATAGTTTCGGCTCTTCTTCCTGCCTGCAATGTTGCAAGAAATTTTAAATAGTTACCCACACATCTAGTGCTTTGCATGTTTATAGGTATATTTACTCACTCATCCTTTAACTAAACCTCATTAAGGTGTTAAATACACTATACATTTAAGAAACGAAGTTCAATTAGCAACTCGATCAAAGTTTCATCATTAATACAGATTTAGTTGAAAGTATTTTCATATTGATTTCTAATAAATTTAGAAAAAAGTAATTCAATTTAACAAATTTAGTTAATTGTATGATTTGAACTGTGACCCGACTAATAATTTGTTCAATTACCACAATATTATATATATATATATATATATATATATATATATATATTAGTATAAGAATATAAAAACTATAAATATAAACTATAGAACTATATATAAATTGTCAATATTAAACGCTAGTTACTAGTCTTATGACTACTTAAAAATACATGTACATCTATCATCTAATTTTAATTATTCAAATAAAATTTAATAATTAAAATGCTCATAAATTTTTATTTCTCATAATAATCAAATATTTTTTATGTAAAATTTAAAATAATTATCTTGTTGTGAGGCCGTGTGTAGACTTATCTATTTATCAAAAAGATCCTTAAAGTAATGATTTATGAAATTTTTTTCTATAAAATTTAAAATTTATCATTTAATTATTGAGTAAGGTGATATGTTAATGTTAAATGTGTATATAAAAGTTTATAAATAAATCAGAAATTTGTAGATATATAACTTATTAGCAATATTTATCTATATTTTATAATAATTATTAAGTAAAGTAACTTAATCTGCATCCATATACATGTATATGTTAACAATATATTAAAAAATATAAAACAAAATTTTAAAAGAACCACACGATAATAGAACAAATCACAAAATCCATAATAATGAGTCAAATCACAAGGTGAGTAAAAAGACTGTCTTAAAAAATAAAGTAAAGCGTGATCGTTTTACGTTCTTAAAGAAAAAGAAATAGGGAGGATTAGAGAGAACAGAAGAGGATGACAATGAAATGATGAAATAAAAAAAAAGGGGGGGGGGGGGTTAGAATTTGAATATAAAAAAATACGATTAAAACATAAACGAATTATAAACCATTTAACTTGTGAAACTAAATTATAAAAAGAAAAAATTGTTAATTCAATAATTGACAATTTAACACAACAGATCAAAGGCCATTCATGTAACCCATGCCTTGGGAAAGCACCTGATCTTAGGACATTAGAACTCTAATTAGCCTTGTGTTTAACATACCCAACTTTCTCTATCTACTTACCTTCCGTGATCATCACATATTTTTAACAAAAATAGAAATCATAACTAAAACAATTAAAAGACAAGAAAGAAATTAACTATCAATTTATATATCATACGAATGCAGCATGTAGGTGTTAACGTACTTGGCCAACAAGAGTCCTCATGAGGGTTTTCCTCAGTCGATTATCGTTGTGTTCAGTCACTCTCATTTGTTGTCTCATGATCTCTGCGGAAGTCATCGGTCGCCGCGGCCTTAACGGTGGCATCGTGTGATGGAAAGGGCTACTTCCACTGCCCATCGACGACGGCGAACCGCCACTACCGCCCGACACCATTCTCCTCGATGGTGACCTTTTCAACATCTTCAACCCTAAAGCCCGCTTCACCTTACTCGTCGGTGACATCACTACTTGGCCTGGCCTTGACTCATTCTCATGGTTATTCGAATGAAATGTGTGCACATGTCGAACTCCGAATCCCGGAGATGATCGACATGCCATGAAAAAGATCTCATAGGCTGTTTCCCTAATGTCATCTTGACCTAAATTCTCAATCTTGCCGAAGGGAGCAACTAGGTCATTATTACTCTCATCCTTAGCAACAAGATCAAAGAGGCGTTGGTCATTATGATAGTGACGATAATGATAATTATTATAATCTTTATGAAATGCGGTTGAAGGCAATGGGCCAGAATAGAATTCACGACGGGTTTGCTGACCCATAGGGTGTAGAAGATGGGTTGTGGGTCAGCAACCAACGATGAATGGTGGCGGTGACCACAATAATATAACTTTATATTATGTTAGAAAAATATGTGTGGGAGAAGAGAGTGGTGCATTTGTTTTAAAAGAAGGAATAGAGAGAGACCATGAATATTGAGGGTGTGCGTGTTCGTTTATGTTAATGACAGCGATTTTTTGCACGGATGGTGCATGAGAAGAGGGGAAGAGATGATTGATTTTGGGTTTGCCCACGTTGTCATGAGCGAAGAATAAGAGAAACAAAAGGTGGTATGCTGACCAAATTAGAAGACTAGTGCATTTGAATGCGTTTTTCTCGGAAGTTTTTTTATTTTGTTCGTTTTTGTATTATGTTTTTGTTGCATTAAGCAAGTGTTCGCATAGATTGCACCACAGTTATGGCACCTCATTTTCTGTTTCGTGTTTATTTGTATGTGTTGTCACTTTTTTTCCAGAGAGCTAACATGATTGAGATAATAAACGTCGTTATCTATTTAACTCGTAATTGCGCTGTAATGGATGGACAACGTATATCATCAATTTTGCTTGAAAATAGACTAATTTGAAAATATCATTCAACTGTGGATTTTCATTGGAATGTGTTTTCACCATCTTCTGTTTAGAGGTAACTTGATTGAGATAAACAGCATTCCCCATTTAACTAATCATTTGGTTGTCATAAATGAATGGAGAACGAATATAATTAAATATAGCTTGAAATGAGATTTTAAGTTAACCGTATTATCTGTTAAAATTGAAGAAGAATATTCTTATATTAGTTAAGTTTAAAATTTTTTATGCTTAATCTGAATTTTTTAGTTAACTTATATTTAACGGTTAGTGAAATAATAAATTATAACTTGTGAGGTGTAAATTAAATAAAATACTTAGATTAAGTGTCAGAATTTTTAATTTTACACTAGTGTGAGAAGATCTTGCTTCATTAAAAATTCAATGTTACAAATAATAATATAAGTTCTTAAGTTTGTAGCAAATTTATTTATAAACTTTTTAACACAAATTTAAAAAAAAATATTGTATTATACATAAAATTATCAAATATGTTACGATATATTTCAAATTACATTTACAAGTTTTGTTAACCTTAGTCTTTAAAGCTGATTTTAAGCATTAACAAATATAATTTTTTTATAAAAAAAGTACATAATTATTATATTGAAGTTATAAAAATATAATAAATACTTATTTTTCTAATAAAATTTTACTATTATTAATTGTTTATCCTAAGTACTAAGGGTTAAGGTTAACAAAACTTAATATTTATATATTCAATTTATTACAATATTTTTGTCCAACTGGTATCATTTATTGAAGACAATTTTCTTTGAGTTTGGTAGAATTTATGTAAGCCACAAAATTCTATTTATTACATTTGCAACACATCAATAAAATATAAAATAATTATAATTATAATTTTGTTAATCATATTTTTAAAGTGTTATCTTTTCATATTATGATATAATCTGTTGTTAATAATGATAAACCAAAATTTAGTAATTATTACATATCAACAAAGAATAATAAATATCATTTATTTAAAACAAGCAATCTTATAAAGATGCCAGCCTGAGTAAATAAGAAGATGAAGAAATAGTTAGTTATGATAGAGACAGTGATTTAATTATCATTTATTTTTATAATTTTTAATTATAAATTATTTAATAAAAGTTTATAATTCAGAAACTGTGATATTTTAAATAAATAATATGGTTAATTCAAAAATATAATTTATAATCAATATCAAATAGGATTTAAATGATTTAGTTTTAAAAAATTTCAGTAATAATAATAATTATAATATTGTCAATAATATTTTATAAGTAATGTAATTTAATACCTCTATATAAATGAGATAATATTTTATTTTGTTATGACCTCTTTCAATACGTTAAATTCTGAAAATAAATCAAGTTCATTACTGAAGAAGGATAAAATACAACAACTTAGAAATAAAAGATTAAAAAAATTAGAAAGATAAATTAAATAGACCTAGGAGTAAAAAGGCAAACAGAGAGAGAGAGAGAGAAGATAATTAGAATATTAGACATATAAAATTCTATTGAGAAAATAATTATAAAAGAATAATCAATGCAACGAATAATATAGATAATTATTAGAATGTTATAATAACAGCTTAGATATAAAATTAAGAATCGATAGTTACGTTGATAATGAATAAAATAAATGTGACAAAAAAACTCTCAATAATTTTTCAATAAAACTTATTACATAATAATTTAAATTAACAATAAGTAAAATTATTAATGGTAAAATTATTTTTCGAGGCCTTGTATATTTTGGCAATTAAGCAGAGCAACAGACAAGGGAAAGAGAGAATTTTGGCAAACATAGAAAAGGAAAGAGGATTATTATTGAATTTTGGTGTATTTTTGTACTTGAGCTTCGTGCATCTTCTTTATATTCAGTTACTAAGTTCTATTAGAAGATCTGATTTTAGTAAATAAAAATTGAAATATTTGAACGCATTGATGAGGCAACCATCAGGTGGTTCAATACTCTTATCTGAAGATCACGGCGGTCTAAACTCATTCTTTAATAATTTGCGTGGAGTGTAATTGTAATCACTTTAGGTTTTATTTAGACGTCATTTTAAGAAGGAGATAAGTGTTTGGGAGTTTTTTTAAACCTCTTCTTAGCAGCCTAATAGAAAGAATTTTTTATATTCTACTTAAAATATATTACACTGCAGTATTTATACAGCACCTTACAACTAGCAATTAACAAATGTGAGCTATTATTGCTTATAAATGTATTTGATTGTTTTCCATTATTGTATAAATTAAAAATGATAGAAAATTAGAAATTAACTTTTAATAAAATAAAATATTATATTATTTATTGTGAGAAAATGTAATAAAAAAGACAAAAGAGTTATTTAGTCAATTTTTTATGACATGGTATAAAGAGTTTTGTAGAGGCAGCAAAGTGCTTTCAGTTTCTTGGTTCTCGTTCTTTCTTTTTTTTTTTCTTGTTTTTTATCACTTGCAGTTTCTTGGTCTCTTGGTTTTTGGTCCTTTGAAATTTTTGGTAGCAAATCTTGGAGGTTCCATTTTTTTTTATGGGCACTAAGAATTTTTGTATTTGTTTTACTGGGAAGAACAATTCTGCTTGAGAGTTTCAATTTAAGATGTTCGTGAAAGGAAAAGGAACATGGGATCATGTTGATAGATCTTCTCCTGCACCTACAACAACAACCGAGTTAGTAACATGAAACACAAAGGATGCTAAGACTGTCTCTTAGAATAGCATCTTATCACTCAAGGAGTCATATCTGTGATAGCCTTTCTTCTAATGCTATAATTGCTGCCTATTCTGCTCAAGGAAAGGGAAAAGATAGAGATATGCAGCAAATTCAATGTTATTCTTGTAAGCAGTTTGGACTATTGCTAAAAATTGTAATAAGAAATTCTGCAACTATTATAAGCAACATGGTCATATAATTACTGACACATTCAGGTTAAAGCTTAGTGCAAGCTTTTCATGTTGCAATTGGATCTGCATATTAGACCTCCTCACCAACACCTTCTGCAGTTTCCCTACTCCTGCTTTATCTCCAAAAATTGTGTAGCAGATGGTGCTTTCAATCCTCTTTGTTTTAGGCCTATAATGTAAGTCTAATCTCATCTTTCAGACCTGGTTTGTTGATTCTAAGGCCTCCAATCATATGACTAGTTCCCCTGAATATTTGTATAATATTTGCTCTTAAAAAGACATTAAGTGTTGTTGTTGGTGACATCAATCCCTCTTTTTGTAATGTGTTTGTGTCCCTTGAAATTGTTTCAAATATGATTTCGGTTGACCAATTAATTGATAATAGTTGTGATATGAATTTTTCTCGTGATAGCTGTTTTGTGCAAGACTAGGGGTCAAGAAAGGTGATTGCAAAAGGGCCTAAAGTGAGGAAATCATTTCCACTTCAATTTACTCTTTCTAATCTTGTTTCTTCAGCATGTAATGGTGTCTCAAATAAATGTGAGGTCTGGCATAAAAAGTTAGGTTAGTTATTTTGTCTCATTTACTCAAAAATGGTTTGTTGGGCAATAAAACTATGGTTTCTATTTCTTCCTTTGATTGTTCAATATGTAAGATTATTAGAAGCAAAATTCTTTCTTTTCCATATAATGATCATCCCGTTGAAAATTGTTTTGATATTGTTCACAGTGATGTTTAGGGTATATCTCTTGTGATAATCCATGCCAAAGTACAAATATTTTGTGACTTGTATTGACGACTATAGCGCTTTACTTGGATATATTTTCTCCACTCTAAAGTTGAAGTTTTCTCAATATTTAAGAATTTTTTGCATTTGTTTATAATCAGTTTAACACAGACATTAAAACTTTGCATATTGATTCCGATGGAGAATATATTTCTAATGAATTTAAAGAGTACATGCAATACAAAGGAATTCTTTCTCAATGTTCTTGTCCATATACGCCCTAACAAAATGGCATTGTTGAATGAAAAAATCGACACTTGCTTGATGTCACAAAAACATTACTTCTTGATGGTTCTAGTCCTTCTCATTTTTGGGTTAAAGCTTTGACCACTATTGTCTATTTGATCAATCGTCTTCTTTCTCAGGTTCTAGACTTTGATTCCCCTTTCTTCTGTCTCTATAGTATGCATCCTAGTTATGACAACTTTCACACTTTTGGTTGTGTCTATTTTGTTCACTTACCTCCTATTAAGCATTATAAACTTAGGGCACAATCTATTCAGTGTGCATTTATGGGTTATAGTGCCAGTCAAAAAGGGTTCTTGTGTTATGATGTTACTACAAATTGCTTACACATATCTAAGAATGTGATTTTCTTATATGATAAATATATTTTTTTCCATTTGAAACACTTACCTCTAATATTTTTGCCACTCTTCTTGATTTTCCTAAAGTCTCTCATTTTATAGAATGTTTTAAATCAACACATGCTATGCCAAAC